GTGAAGTTCAAGCAATTTCGGGGCTTGCGATACGTGCAGTGGTGCGGACGTGTAACGATTCCGTGAAGACATTTCCCGTGATTTCCCTGTTACCGTCCAGATGAGTTAAGCTTTTGAAGCACTTCAAGATAATAACAGTACTATCCGAATTGTGGGTATTTTTTATATCTTCAGGGACTTAACATACCACATGTGTTCTTTAAGCTTTAACACTCTCCTCATCTGAGGTCGATTCACACATCTCTTCCCAAACACGAAAAACGGTTTATTAAGGTTTTAAAACAAGGCTTACCAGATACCGCGGCAAATTCCATTGCATTGGGGTGGGTATGTCACACACACTCTCTCGCTCCATGACGGGAATCTCACCGTGCGTTTTGTCCCATGCGAAAAAAAACCGTGAATGTGATATGAATAACTTGCAAGTTCTTTCTTCCCATCTTCAAGTGACTTCTCTACTTGTTCTGTTAGCTACTGGATCGTGTTCAACATATGGCCCTTTTGGAACTAACATCCTGGAATGTTTTGTTTTGAAGCCACATGGCGCGATATATGTCTTCTCTCGATCGTGATGCAGTGTATAAGCTGACCCCGGTGTTTCCAAAGTCGAAGTGTCGTGTCGTCCCAGATTCTGACAATCCGCAACTTCTTTTTTTACCGATTTGAAATTTTGTGCCCGTAGTACAGCCGGATCTGTAAAATCAATGACAAATCTCTGGTGGTAGACAGCTCTGCTGTCGTCCGGTTCAATACCACGCATAACTTTGTGGTGTCTTATATAGTTTCCCACTCCAAGTCCCGGGGCTTTGGGTTGCCGGTTTCCGCGACGGAGCAGCAGGTATTCGTGACTATGGGGTTCACCCCGTCTGCTGTTCATCATAAAAATGTGTGCAATAACAAAAAAACAAAACAAAACAAAACGAAGACCATACTGTGACTACTTTGATCGATGGGGCTCAGTAGTTACTATTGTGGGTAGTCGGTTTTGCTTAACCATAGTTTTATCGGACGATTTGGGTCGACTAATCAAGTGCAACTACGAGCAACGAATCTTGTGCAACTTTTAGGGAACAGAGTTCAACAGAGCTCAGTAAAGCACTCGGGGGTTAGTTGTCGCTAAAAGCAGAATATTACACGACTGTTGACTTTCTGTGGGTACAGATTTTGGGCATGCCGATTTGCATGCAAAATAATGGAGATGTTGTTCAGTCTCAGAAAGAGTGAAAATTACTGCGCTACATTGAACAGTTTACACTGTGTACATTCACTTCCGACGAACCGTCCGGGAACATTTTTTGCACTTGTATATTTTCTAATCCGGAGTTCTATACGAATATTTCAGCAACATGTCTAAATCGTTCTTCGTTCCAATCTCTCTCTTTTTGTAGTTTTCTATTAGTAAAAGTGTTTTTTGTTTCATATTGCTTTCTGAGTTTTCCTTAAATCTAATGTTTCTTTTCGTATTTTCTTCATAAATCCTCTTTTCTCTTATTTCGCGCGTTCTCTTCTCCTGAACTGCAATCAGTACCAAAGAAAGCTGTCACTTCCTAGCGTTTCCTTGTAACCACTATCTCGCATATTCTCAATCCACCTAATCCCATTAAACCCGTTCCAGGTTGATCTACTGTTTTCAATCTTGAAAACAGAAAAAAAACGTTTTGCAAATATGACAAACAAGTTTGATTTGCGTTTCTTGTTAGCACGGGCTGGGGATGGAGGGTGGGTGAGTGGGAAGCGAGCATTTATTTTTACATTATACTAGGTACAACAAGGTAATTCAGTGCTATCACTGTTCTAACTATAGTGTATGATTTCTATATTCATCAAGTGTATATTTCGTGTAAGTCTGAAGGTTTTGATATGATTGATAGGATTTTAGCGTCTGTTCGATTCCCGATTTCTGTCGAATACTTCATTCAGCTGTTCAAACCACTATTCACAATGTGCGGTAATGATCACATGCGGAGGTGCTGTACCCACGAATCGGCGTCCCCGGTGGCGACCAACAGTTCGATATCATTTCTATTTGTATGCATAGAATATCTAGCGGTACGGAATAAAGCAAAGGTTGGACACTGGCGACAGTCGAACCATATCTATTCCTCCTCCTCGGATTACAAATTCCCGCTGCTCTTTCAGACGTGCTCCCGGATGACCAAGTCGGTCAGATGATCATTGACGTGTTCGGTTGGCGAAACCATGCGATGCAACATTATCGTCATCTAATGTATTGGATGCCGAAACTCGCGCACGCCAATCCGTGGCCTGTCCTCTCACGTATCCTGGATGAATTGGAGGAGAATCCGGTCTATCTGGCTCAGTTAATTGCTGAACGGATTTGTCCTGACCGGATGACAAAATTTCAGTTGATCAAAGCAAGTTCCTGTAGCCGTAACCTTTTCACTAGGACACTCCGAATTTCGTATGTAGCTTTTCTTCTCACGAAGGACCTCGAACTCACCATATATGTGCGAATTGTTTATCTCAATATCAATATATCTATCCCAATTTTCTGGTTCTGTAGCTCATCACATTGAGTTCCAAGGATGAAGTTCCCTATTATTCTGGCTACAACGCTCGAAGCGCACTGCCTAAATCTGTATCAGTAACACCTTGAATAAGGCGCCGCGGTTTCACTTTCAGCTTTCACAACCATTCACCATGTATCTTCATGCGCCGATTTTGGTTGCTGTCTTTTAGCTACCCATTTGGATAAAATAGCAGAATGAAGTTAGGAATGTTCACAGCAAATTCAAGCGGAAGATAGAGAATTCATATAGATCGAGATCTTAGTTTGACCACCCTTGACTTTCTTCCATGATCTTTCTGCCTCGGTAAACACAGTATGTCGTGACAGTCTATCTGGTGACATGCGTAACACGTCCCAGCCTCCGTAGTTTATATGAATTATATGTCTGAGGAAAAATACTGTGGCTTGTTGTGCACTGGTGACGCGACCATTTTAATTGATTGCGTTACATTACATTGCCAGTGTTGGTAGCTTCAGTAGCTTACGACACTTTTTCACCCGAGTTCATCACGGAAAGTGGTGTTCGACAAGGTTGCCCTCTCTCTCCGTTTCTATTTAACTTTGTCATAGATCTGGTTCTTCAAACAGGCCTATCTTCGTGCGGGGATAGCGGTATTGATTTACTCCCAGGTGGCAGCCTGTCTAATCCAGAGTTGTGCTCCTAAGTGAAAATTCAGGTAAGTTGCAAGCTTTGCTGGATAGTTTGAGTGCGAGTGTAGCGATGTTCGGTATGGGTTTCGCACCTTCAAAGTGTAAAATGTTGCTCCCAGATTGGGTTGGTCTAGCACCCAGTCTCACCTTGGTGGTAACGTCACCAATTATCACCTTGGAGTGGGTTCGAATCCCACCACCACCGCCTGTCTTTCCCCATTATGCGTGTTGTATGACAACCCTGGGATTTGCCGCTTCCTCCTTGAAAATTGTCTTTGTATACTCAATAAAAGGAAGTAAAGTGAAAAAACTTAGAAATCCGGCTGTCTGTGAAGGGTTAAATATATATGCCAGCAGTTTGGCGAGTGCTGCTCTACAGTGCGCGGACTTTGCCATCACGGGAACAGGATCAAAATAGATTGTTGGTGTTCGAACACCGCTGTCTACGTCACATTGCACGAGTCTGGTGGGACAACCGGACGAGCAATACTGAGGTCAGGCGTAGAGTTTTATGTAGTCGCGGTCGTCCACTAGAGCAAGTGATCGACCTCCATAGATTACGTTGGTTGGGTCATGTGTTATGCACGTCACCAAATAGGTTGCCATGGCGAGCGATGTTTGCCGAGGCGGGTAGCGGTTGGGAAAAGATCAAAGGAGGTCAAGCTAAGAAATGGCATGAGGGTATGAAAACCCTGACCAGGAGACTGGCTCACATAGGCCCTGTTAGGCTCCCTGGCTGGGGACCCTGAGCTCATGGTCACCGATGGTTAGAGACACTGAATGATATCACGGAGTGTCACAACCAGTGGCGCTCGTGCATCCACTTATTATTCTCCTAACACCATTCTATTTGAATTCTCCATCTTCCGCTTGGATTTACTGTGAACATTCTGTTCTTTTATCCAAATGAACAGCCAAAGTCAAAGTTTTATTATGGGCGATTTAACAAAGCTAAAGCTTATCATGCCCCATAGGATTTTTATAGGATATTTTGAATAACTTCACAAAAACAAAGTAATAGTAATAACAATTTGCATGATCACTCACGGATGTCGAAATTTTAAGTGTTCCAATGCTTTTTCAAGTTGCGATTGGAATATCAGTTTAGTCATTTGAAGAAAAAAAAGTATCTGTAGTCTATAAATTGTAATTCCAAATGTTCTGTTCGGAAAACAGGAACCACCACCACTTGTCATTTGCTGGGCTGCATCTTCTCATAGGGTCTGCGGCTTTTTCATTTCTCATTGTATGATGTTATGCGCTTTTCCGCGAGAGAATGATTGTAATAATTTGAGTTTTAATTAGATGAAACCGGCGGATAAAACACCGGGTCAACCGGACAGTATGGTGAGCGCGCAAAGTCCAGAACAACAAGCTCTGCTCACATATTTCTCCACCGTCTCCCCGTCTCACGGACCGGGTGTTATTCCCGGTTCGCGACCCGTCATCTATTTGGATGGACCGCATTTTGTGTGGTACAGAAACCTGCAGGTTAGATCCGTTTTGTATGTGTTTGTTGTTCAATAACGATTGATTTTGCCCCCATACAGTACAATTCCAGTTATCTTTTGGTACGCATTTACGGCTGACAGATCAGTTCACTAATCGTTTGAGCGTCTGGTTAACTGACAGTATGGTTTTTTTATGGCTTTATCTTCGTTCACTTCTCAATGCGCTCCACATTTCCGAATCCATGACAGTCAAAGTCACAGTCTTTTTTACTTACAAACAAATGCTTGTGTTTACGCTCATTACAGATGAATTTGCGTAGCTGTTTTGCGGCATTGGAGTGTTTCTCGATACCAATTTAGTGCACTGAATACATACACGAAAGGCAAAAGAGTTGGGCAAAGTCGTTCAGATTACGTTTGTATTTATGAGCTGGATAACACTTTTTAGAGGTATTTTATATTTCAGTAGAAATACATAGTTCAAGTTGGTTGAATTTCATACAGAAGAGTGCTGTAAGGACTAGTGAGTTATATTGAGTCAAAGGGTCCGGTGCGTAGTATTCTTTACGTGGAGAACTGTTCCCATTGAAATATCCCATTTCATTCACTGAGACCTGTCACACCTTTTTGTTATGTTTTACGCCGCTTATATCCGTTGCCTACTATTATGTCGCACAGCACTGTCACAGGCGAACATCACAAGCGCAAAGAACACAAGATATAGCACAGTAACACTAGTAGCACACGGGAACAAGAACAGCGGACTAGCACCAAATCCGTGATCGAATGATAGTTCTAGGAGCGGAGCTACCTAGGCGCAACACACGACACACGGTCGGCCAGGCCTCCTAAAACACCGGGGAGAAGGCACGGTTTCAGCAGTTCGGATTTTTAATGGTTATGAACACAAGTCACGAGTCAATTTACAAGTTTTACGCTGATGCTTATATGTGACTCAAAATAGCATCGATCAATGCAACAAAAAGATTCTACCAATCAATTACACGGTTATCAAAGTTAAACCGGTCATAGGTCACGGATCAGCCGAACGGACAGATTGAATATTGCCGTTCGACGCAATATTATTGATTAATCTCCGCGAGATTAGTATTGATCTGAGTTGACCCCAATCGGGGTCAAATATGTTGTAGATTTCTCGATTTCCCCCCCCCCCCC